AGGGAGAGAGAGAGAGAGGGAGAGAGAGAGAGAAAGAAAGAGAGAGAGAGAGATGGGGTTTAACGTCCACTCGACACAAACTAGGTCATTTCGGCACTTTCATATGGTTTAATTTTTTTCAATAATTTGCTTGCGCATAGGGGTCTTCAGCAGTAGGAGGAAACCGGAGGAAACCCACGAGGTTAGACAGGCGACCCTACTCCTTGTCACGTACAACCCAAATACATAGTATATAGGTTTTACAAAACAATAGTTCACAATAAAGTAGTGATGGCGGAGATGTACAATTATATAGGGTGTCTTTATAAGCGAGATTTCAGCGCAAAATGTACAAATTTTCCTAAATTATTTAACAATATACAATGTTCATTATTCAGCAGTTTTAATTTAAACCCTACTTCATTACGACGCTAGCCCCATCTGGACTAATTTAATTACGTCATCTGCTAAACACCCTAATTGATAGTTAGTACACTGTTTCTAATTGGTTCACTGTGCAAACAATATGGCAAAATACTGACATCAGGAAAACGTATATTTTTTACCAATATGCTATTTTTAAATTAAACATACATTAGCAAGAGTTGAATCTGCCTATTTCAGGTCTTTCTTTAGGCCTGAAATGTTATCTAAATTATTAATTAGACATTAATTAACTTATCCAGACCATAATCAACTCTCGATGGCATCGCTAGGCTGCGATGTTTATCGGATAAGTTACCGATTTGCTGTTCGATTTCCATTCATGATTAAATCATGAACTGGATAATCGAGACTATGTTTTTTATTCTACCGACTTTAGTAATGATGATCGGGGATAGGCCGAAAATTCAATCGCTAAAACCTCGGTTCAGAGTGGATCAATTTGACTGACATTTTCAGCAAATTCCCTTTACATTATCTAGTTTTTAACTACTATAGTGACAACTATCAGCCGTTTATCTAATCTCTCATAATGTATCTTTATTAAAAACTAGAGAATCTTCGTCGAAACGTCGTATATTAATAAACCAGTAATTGTTATTCCATAAATAATTTTTAATCTGTTATTAGGTTGTTGTTATTTGATCATATTGGGTAGTATGTGATGGTATTTAATGAGTATTTGGTAGTATTGTATGGAAGACCAAACAGCTCTTTATTCAATCCTTAATTCTTAATTAATAGTCTATAACACATACTTATGGAAGAACAATTACTGATTTATTTGGGCGACGTTTCGAAGAGTATTCTCTCAACGTTTTCAATGCCTCTAAAAGATCATAATTAATAGTCCTTAATTCTTATTTCTTCATTTGTTGTCGTATTTCGACATTTGTACACTAAAATTAGCATTTGTATTTTAAAATCAATATTTGTTTTACAAATCAGACATTTGTCATATCAGATTTGTAAAATGTATTTTAATTGTATTTTAATATAAAAATAAAATTTATTTTTGTAAATAAAAAAAAAATAATCTACATTTACATTTCATGATATACATACAACGAAAAACAAATCTTGAACAACAAATCTCCAAATACAAAACTTGCAAAACATTTCTCCAAAAACACTTCTTTAATAATATTAATAACATTTCTCCAAAAACATTCCTCGAAATTCACCAAACCGGAATATTATGACGACATAAGCGGATATCAACCTGGCATACAATAAGTCACCATACAATAAAGGATAATCGAGCAAACATATATATAATATATTCTTTAAGTGGCATTTAGCGATCAGGGAACAAATTAACAGAACACAGTTTTTATGGGATACAATCACTAGTTTATTCTAAAAGCACGACGTTTCGACAAGTATCCTCTTATCGTTATCAAGGATACTTGTCGAAACGTCGTGCTTTTAGAATAAACTAGTGATTGTATCCCATAAAAACTGTGTTCTGTTAATATATATAATAACAAAAAATCGCTCTATGACCGTGACTTTGCCCCCCCCCTCTCCGCTAGCTACGAGCCTCACCTGTGTCGTTAACCTGCATACTAATTGGCTCTCAATGTTATATTCTATACCTACGTCAGGTGTTATGTTCGCTTCATCTCTTTAGATCTCCGCGTTAAATACGTTAATTACAAATTGATAACAATAACAACTTCATGTATTGTGAAAAAGATGACGACATAATCACGTGCGGCCTGTTAATAACAGATTAACGCGTGTACAATAAGCGTGGGGATCACGTGGCTAAGTGGGTAAGAGGCTGGCTCGCTAGCCCGCAGATCGGGTGTTCGATCCCTGCATAACCGAGAAAGTTCATCCAGATTTTCAGGCGTGGTTTCCCCTTGTCAGTGATGCAGGATGGAGGGCCTGACAAGGACAGCTGTCTAGTCGTTCGGATGGGACGAAAACCCGAAGTCCCGTGTACACATTGGCGTGCACGTAAAAGATCCCCTGGCAGTTGGAATTCGATATAAGAGCAGGCCGTAGTGCCGCTGTCCAGACAAAATTTTTTCGTCTCACCCGAACGACTAGACAGCTGACCTTGTCAGGAGATTTGATATAACTGTCTTTGTATAAATGTTCTAACTTGGTGACATTTTGATGAGATTTCCCGTCTTCATTAGCCCAGGTTAGGAGCAGAACAGTAGGACGTTAAACTCCATTTCGTTTCATTTCATTGATGAGCTTGAAATATTTCATTGTTTTTATTATTTTGGGTATTTCATGTATTGATAAATAAATAGAATGACTATGTTTTGTGTACATTCAGGGTATTCTGTATTCAGTGTATTGTATTGAACAAAATATTTATCCGGCCCGCGTTCGGCATTCTTTCAGTTATATCTGGCCCACTATGAAAAAAGTTTGGTGACCTCTGATGTAGAGTGAACGTTACTCTCTCTCTCTCTCTCTCTCTCTCTCCCTCTCTCTCTCCTCTCTCTCTCTCTCTCTCTCTCTCAATAATAGATGTCTTAATGACATCGAAACGTCATAGCCAACCAAAGTTTAGACATTCTTTTCGTCCATAATATCCGGTTAGTCGCAATATTATGCAGTTTGAAAAATTGGGGAAGAAGCAAGTTTAAAATCAATTGTATATAAATATTTAACATATTTATCAGTTGAATTTTTGACACGAATTTTTGGACATCTTTTGAGGGCCTTGCAAGAATGAGACGTAAAATCGAGGTCGCACCAAATTTATTCATTCATTCATGGGAGGTTAGATGGCCGAATGGTTAGCACATGCGCGTTGTACCATAAAGTCTGTCACTGAGACAACTGGCGTGGTGTCGATTCCCCGGTTGTACGTGACAAGGAGTAGGTCACCTGTCCAACCTCGTGGGTTTTCTCCAGCTCTCCCGGTTCCCTCCCACTGCTAAAGACATCTACGCGCAAGCGAATTACTGTAATAAAATTGAACCATATGTTAATCCCGAAATGACCTAGTTTGCGTCGAGTGGACGTTACACCTGCCAACTCTCTCTTCGGACTCCGCAGAATGAACCGAAGGTTGTAATATAACATATTTCTGAAATTAACTATACATTAGTGTCCCTCATATTTATCGTGTCTGAGATAAATAATAAAACAAGGAATCTAAAGACATCGAAAGTCTCGATGATCATTCTCCCAAACATCTTCAATTGACGTGACCTTCTCGCTTAATGCAATTTGTTGAGCTTACGTCAAATTTAAACACTTGATATTCCATTGTTTCTGGGACAGATTTGACAAGTGAGCTGATAATACAATAAAAAACGTCTGGATTTGGAAATGTGATCCAGGACATTCACTTAACTAGAAAATTGCAGATTTATTCTATGCAGTTTTCTTTTTTGAAAAACTTTTATAAATTTTATGATGTGTCACAATTTAAATAAATCTTATGTCGACTAGAGGAATCTCAGAGAGAGAGAGAGAGAGAGAGAGAGAGAAAGAGAGAGAGAGGGAGGAAAACCCAAGAGGTTGGACACGGGAACATACTTCTTGTCACGTACAGTTTGGGGTTCGAAACCACGCCACTTAACTCAGTGACAGACCTTATGATCCAACGCGCACGCATGAGCCATTCCGCTACCCAACCCGCCAAAAGCTACGAGGGAAATTTTGCCCGGACAGCGGTGCTTTGGCCTGCTCGTATATCGATTTCCATCTGTCAAGGGATCTTTTACGTGTACACGGGAACTCGATTTTTCGTCCCATCCGAACGACTACACGTTATTCCTTTCCAGGCCCTCGGCCCTGCACCACTGACAAGGAGGAACCACGCCGGAAAATCCCGATGAACTTTCTTGGCCATCGCAGGTATCGAACACAGGACCCCCAGGTTAGCAAGTCATTGTCTTACTCTCTGAGCCACCAGAGGCATTAAAAACTTTCTACTTTAAAGTCTGATTACTGGGCATTTCATATTAAATGCAGACACGAACTAGAACAGGTACTTCACATATGATAGGTTTTATCCTTGCGGCATGTTCTTTCTTATGTGCTTTTTACAAAGTCAATAAACACGCATACTCCTCTCAGTGTTTCGTTTGATTAGACCTCATCCCACTCTAACACTGCTGTAACGAAAGCAAATTTTGGTTCCCAATTATAACTGGTCAATAGTCCGATTAACAACCAATATCTAACTGCGTAACAATATCATTCGGCTTTAAACAGAGCTCCTGATCTGTTTACATAACGTTACGCCACGACTCGCGAAATTTATTATGCCCAATTAACCAGTGCATAGCAGAGTATGCCGAAAAACTAATTGTGTGACAAACGAAGCTATCAAAACGGCAAACAATGTAAACAATAGTGTTTGGAGACGAACAAGAACTGCATGTCAGGGAAATGACACGGTAGGGAGGGTGTATCTCTCGAACCACAGATCAAAGGTGTACATTTCCGAAATGAGCACTGAGTGAAAACGGCGATCTGAAAGTAACAGATTTGGTTTCATTGGTTGTGTCGACATTAATATGAATGTGAGTCATCACTTCCTCAAAACAAATTTTCTCGTTTGTTTTGTTATGTAACCAAGTTTTCAAACGGTCTGTTTAGACTGCAATATCAAACGTACAAAAAGTTATCATTCAATTATTTACGTTACTTTGAAGTATATTTTTTGTTTTATCCTTATTTAAAAATATAGACGTTGTTATAAAATGCATGAAATATCATAACAGCGAATCTGTTAACCGATACAGCTACCTTTGATAACATTTCATTGATCTCCGCTTGCAACTTTTACAATTTCTAGCAGGAAGTAAACACGTTTAGACCAAGTTACATTTTATATTTTTTTCTTTTTTTCTTATGTTACCATGGTTCCCAGACCTTTTCTCGTTTCCGACATATTTTTCATCGGCCTGCATACGTGGTTTGTTTTCCTAAATATTTACGTCTCGCGCATCACTGATGCATGAAAAGGGCTATTTTTGTAATTTCGCGTGCCACAATATTACCATGGTTCCCAGACCTTTTCTTGTTTCCGACATATTTGTCATCGACCTGCATACGTGGTTTGTTTTCCTAAATATTTACGTCTCGCGCATCACTGATGCATGAAAAAAGGGGGGGGGGGGCTATTTTTGTAATTTCGCGTGTCACAATTTTAAACAATTAACATCGATAAATCATTATAGTTCCTACAATCAAAGGAAATACGGAATTAAGTTTTTGTTTTGAAATGAAAATGAAATGAAATGGAATGGAGTTTAACTTATGGAGATGAATTTAAATAAGCTATGGCTTGTTTTCAAATCCACAATATAAGTATTGTAAATACTCATGATATAATAGGGGGGGGGGGGGTTGGATGGCTGAATGGTTAGCGTGCGCGCGCTGTATCATAAAGTCTGTCATTGAGTCGACTGGCGTGGTTTCGAATCCCCGGTTGTACGTGGCAAGGAGTAGGGTCGCCTGTCCAACCTCGTGGGTTTTCTCCGTGTCCTCCGGTTTCCTCCCACTGCTAAAGACCCCTACGCGCAAACGAATTATGTAAATAAAATTAAACCATATGTTAGTCCCGAAATGACCTAGTTTGTGTCAAGTGGACGTTAAACCCCATTTCTCGCTCTCAGGATATAATAGAAATAAAATATTGTTTATACCAAATTCCTACTTTTCTACAAAAACCGGGATTATGGAGACTATCGTACGGTTTATTATTAGGATAATTTTGCCCGGACAGTGGCACTACGGTCTACCCCATTTCTGTAACAACAAAGGGCAAAGTCTAAAAGTTAAAACTGTTATGCTACCACTGGGCTAATGAAGTCGGGCATACGCCATACAGTGTGCTATGAGGGACATTTTGCCCGGGCAGCGGCGCTACGGCCTACTCTTATATCAAATTCCAACTGCCAAGGGATCTTTTACGTGCACGTCAATGTGTAAACGGGACCTCGGGTTTTCGTTCCATCCGAACGACTAGACAGTTGTCTGTGTCAGGCCCTCCGTCCTGCACCACTGACAAAGAGAGAACACGCCGGAAAATCCCGACGAACTTAGCCCAGTGGGAGCAGAACAGTAGGACGTTAAACCACATTTCATCTCATTTCTGTTTACTTTGCCGCCTCTCCACCACACCCACGACCTCCGGCGGTATGGTTTAGTGGCTTAAAGATCGATAATCATCGAACACAAGCGACATTATCTGAGAGCAAAAAGCCAATTATCGACATTAAAATTATATCACCAATCTTGATTGTTCCCAAGATAACACTCAACTCTAAATACTTAAGACATCAATATTTAAAGAAGATAATTAGCTAAGGAGAGATATAATCTTTTCTATAAGTGTCCATTGTTAAGACCAGGACAGGAATGTGTTAAAATCGACGATCCACGATTTTGCTGAGAGAGAGAGAGAGAGAGAGAGAGAGAGAGAGAGAGAGAGAGATGTGGTTTAACGTCCACTCAACACAAACTAGGTCATTTCGGGACTAAAATATGGTTTAATTTTATTTCAATAATTCGCTTGCTCGTAGGGATCTTTAGCAGTGGGAGGAAACCGGAGGACCCGGAGAAAACCCACGAGGTTGGACAAGCGACCCTACTCCTTGTCACGTACAACCGGGGATTCGAAACCACTCCAGTTGACTCAATGACAAGCCGTATGATAGCTAACCATTCGACCATCCAACCACCCGAGAGAGAGAGAGAGAGGGGGGGGGGGGGTTAACGTCCACTCGACACAAACTAGGTCATTTTGGGACTAACATGTGGTTTTTAATTTTTTATTTCAAAGTGGTCTTTAGCAATGGGAGGAAACCGGAGGACCCGGAGAAAACCACGAGATTGGACAGGGAATCGAAACCACGCCAGTTATCTCAATGACAGGCCTTATGATACAGCGCGCACGTGGTAACCATTCGGCCATCCAACCCCCCGATTTTTAATAGAATTCAATGAAAGAGCTTAAGATTAATATTTTATTTCACGAAAAGGTATCCGGATTCATATCCATATAGTTTTACGGATTTAAACTGGATTGGATGATCCCATCTTCATTGGCGCAGTTGGTGTAAAAAAAAACCGTAGCACGTTAAATCCAATTTCATTTCATTTTCGTGTATTCCACGTTAAGTCGAAACTCCATTAGGGTACAAATCAACAGTACAAAGAAATATTGACAGTATGGAATAAAAAAATGAAATGAAATGGGGGTTATCGTCCTACTGTTTAGCCCCGACTGAGCACGCTATGCAATGTGCTATGAGGGGAATTTTGCCCTGACAGTGGCTCGGGGACTTCCTCTTATATGGAATTCCAGCGGGCGTGGTTTCGGCTCCTGCCTTGAACGTGACAAAGAGTAGTGACGTCTGTCCAACCTTGTGGTTTTTCTCCGCCCCCCCCCACCACCACACTGCTAAAGACCCCTACCCGCTTCTCTCTCTCCGCCAGTGTACTCGCTGTGTTGCGCGTACAAGAAATCATGAGAGTTTGACGGGAATTCCACAAAGAGTCCGGGGAAACACTGTATGGTACACCACCCGTCTTCACATCTCCGGGTATAATACCATCAATAGTATCTATTAACTGGGGGTGGGGGGTGGGGGGGGAGGGTTGGATTGCTCGAATGGTTAGCGCGCTTTTATCAAAATGCCAGTCATTGAGTCAACCGGCGTGGTTTCGATTCTCCGGTTGTACGTAACAAGGAATATGGTCGCCAGTCCAACCTCGTGGTTAGTCCCGAAATGACCTAGTTTGTGTCGAGTGGACGTTACCCCCCCACTCTCTCTCCCCGTTCGCTCCTCTCATCGCGTCTGCTCCCCCCACCCCACCCCACCCCACCCCGTTTGTCGGTACGCGCATCTCTCTCTCTCTCTCTCTCTCTCTCGCTTTCTCTCTTCCATTAACTGACCGCATTAGTGATGTTCATGATCATTTCTTTGTCGCTTTGTACACTGTTGTATTATAAACTGGAAATCAGAGAATTTATATCCATACAGGGGATTCGTCCTAGGTTTTTTATAAGTCTTCCTGGTATTACTATCCATTCATCTGTATTTTCTGTTGGCTAAGGGTATTAAGTATCAGTTTTTATATTTGGTCTTGAAAAAAAAGAAGTTTCCGGTGACCATTTGTCGTTAATGGAAACCTGTTGAAGGGAATTAATTGAGCGGGAATATTCGAATTAAGTGCTTTTTTTTATATGATGGATTTTGCGAACTCGTCTACAGAAATTCTCACAGCTTCTCAATGTTATCTTCATAGCGAAGATGTTTGGAGGGAGATAGACATGGGGTTTAACGTCCACTCGACACAAAAGGGGTCATTTCGGGACTAACATATGGTTCGATTTTATTTCAATAAGTCGCTTGCGAGTAGGGGTCTTTAGCAGTTGGGGGTGGGGGGCTGGGGCTACTTAGAGAAAACCCTCGAAGTTAGACAAACGACCCTACTCCTTGTCACGTACAAGCCGGGAACCGATACCACACTATTTGCCTAATGACAGACCTTATGATCTAATACGCACGCGTTCAATCATTAACCCCCACCACCGGAAAATAAATTTGGTCATATTGTGTCAGGAACTGTGGCAAATCATCACTATCATCATTATCAGTACCACTATCATCATTGTCAGTACCACTATCATCATTGCTAGTACCACTATCATCATTGTCATCATTGTCAGTACCACTATCATCATTGCTAGTACCACTATCATCATTGTCATCATTGTCAGTATCACTATCACCATTGCCAGTACCATCATTGTCATCATTGTCCGTATCACTATCATAATTGTCAGTATCACTATCATCATTATCAGTACCACTATCATCATTGTCAGTACCACTATCATCATTGCTAGTACCACTATCATCATTCTCAGTATCACTATCATCATTGTCAGTATCACTATCATCATTATCAGTACCACTATCATCATTGTCAGTATCACTATCATCATTGCTAGTACCACTATCATCATTGTCAGTATCACTATAACCATTGTCAGTATCACTATCATCATTGTCAGTGTTCCCATCTTCGTGTTTCCCATTCTATTTTATTAAACTTTATGTAGGGCCGTGATTATTTAATGATGTGATTGTGTTTCTTGGAATTCGGGAACAAATTGTGCCTTTTTGAATCACCACAGTGCCACCTCTCATATTTCTGTGATGTGAAAACTGATGCTATGAAATTCGAAGACGAGTAAGTGGAGACACCGGAATGGGTTTAACGTCCCTATATTTCTATTCCGATCGGATTGTAACTCCTCACCTTCACCCGTACGTTAATCCCAACTCAAACATAGCTATCCATGGTTTCAATCATATTCCTGAAGCAATGGTCCGAGAAATCCCTCTCTGGCCATTGATAGATTGGCTTCTGATACTTAAGCTTTTGAGGAAGTGTGTTTATTCTTCTCGTCAAATCGAATACACCCCAAGTACAGCAACATGACAGCCCTTCGTTTATTCTGGGGTCTTCCCTAAAACTTTGGACAGTGATTTAAGTATTAAAAACCTTCGTCTCCAAGCAGTATTGTTTACATTGTAGCCAGTTTGATAGTTTTTCTGGAATATTCTATGGACTGGTTAATTTGGCATAATAAAATCGTGAGTCATGACGTGACGTTATGTAAACATTTTTGGCCCAATTTAGAGCTCTGTTTAAAGCGTTATGATATTGTTATGCAGTTAGCTATTGGATGTTAATCGGACTATTTACCAGTCATAATTTGGAACAGAAATTTGCTTCCTTTATAGCAGTATTAAGTGGGATTAGATATAATCAAACGAAACACTGCGAGGAGTATGGGTTTCAGTCCACACAAACATCGTTAGTACATCATACTTATCTCTTTGATATGACATCTAATAATTATTATGGTGTACAAGTCACCATTGATTGATAATAATAACTTGTGGGTGGAATAAATATAAAAGTACAGGACTTTGAGTTCTTGTAGCTTCTTTAATATGGACAGTCTTATGACATGATTGATATATTCATTGAATACATAGTATTTATAGGGTAATCCCATCTTGACAGTGATCTAATAGAATATAGACTTCTATACCAAGAACACGTGATAGATACTGCGAAATAAAATGACATGGGGGTTTAACGTCCTACTCTCCTGCGCCGACTGTGCTAATCAAGATGGGTTGTTCGTCCCATCCGAATGACTATACGTGTTCCATTGTCAGACTCTCCTCTCCGCCCGGCACCACTGACAAGGGGGGGGGGGGGGATCACCGTGGCTCCCTTGAAATTCCAGTAAAGTCGTCTTGGAACAACGTCTTCCATAACAAAGTTAAGGTTAAGTGTGAGTAACATACATTTGTGATGCCAGAAGACACATAACTGGTGCGTGTGTAGGATTTGATAGAAAGGGGTTTTGAAAGGCCCTGTTGACTCTGTATCTACCAGGATGGGGAAAACGAATTTCCTTTTTGTGCTTGCGCCCCCCCCCCCCTCGCCCCTGTCCAGTCCCATCTGGGACTAGTCTCTCGAACACCTCTTTATAATAAAGATTTGATTAAAAGGGGTTCCGAAAGGCCCTATTGGACAATGTATATCTACGAGGGTGGGGTAACGAATTTCTTTTTTTTTTCGCCGCCCCCTCCCCTCTTTCCAGCCCCATCCTTTACTAGCCCCCCGAACACGTCTGGCATGTTTCTTAGGAAACATTTGTCTACCATATCACCTTAGATAAAAGAGAATTTAACCCATATGAGTGAACGAAAGTACACCATTTCATTGCTCTATTCCCCCCGCGGGTTTACTAAAAATAATCGAATCAAAAGGCTGCTACGCTAAGAAATATCGGGCTGTGTTCTCAGGAAACACGTGTCTGCAATATCACCCTGGGGGAAAGCGGACGTTAAACCCTATGAATGAACGAAGGTACACTATTTGATTACTCTATGCCCCCCGCCGGCTTTGCTAAAAATAATCGAATCATTCGACGGATAGCCTAAGAAATATCGGGCTGTGTTCACGGCAGACTTTGATGTCGTTTTATTAACTCTAGCCAATATTCTGATTATTTAATATGTAGTTGGACATGAAAGGGAGACCCCAATCGCCGCCCGAGTTAGCCGATATCGCACTTTAAATTAACATCAATACCTTATAGCTGTTTCGAATCACGTGCATGATTGGGCCATATTTTATTCATTAGAGATGTCCATAACAACCTCATATTAACCGTCCTAACATTCGCGGCTTTCACCCAGTGTCTGACTCCTTAAGACTAACACTCCACTGGGGCGTATCTCTTCAAAAATGTTGTCAATGCCTTCACCGCGCTCATTCATAACCGGGGAAGATTCCGTTTGATCCTCTCTCGCAGAACTATCAATAAACTCGAGCACGAATTCCATCAACAATCAACAGCGCCTGAAGCCGAGGTTACTTGTCATTCTATGTCATCCCGAGACTGGATAACCCTGACTTTTAGCACCACGTGTCAAAGTTCCCAGCCTATAACCTAGAGGTAATTGAAATGGTATTAGGATAAGAGGTGCTAGCGGCCATTTTTATTTCATCGTTATAAAACGTGTCATTATATGACGAGTGTTGCCGGTCGAACTCTCGTCGGTCTTGCGGTCGTTATAGATCTATGGCAAATTATCGGCTTGTGTTGTATGCTTTGCTCACGGTATTCCTTTAAATCTTTCTGCACTACTAAACTAATTTTACGGAAACCAAGTTCCTTATGCAGCCGCGGTTTACCCATGTCGCTAACGTGTTTACAATCGGCCTGATTGAGCAAACTTTCGCGAGGCCATTAGGTTTGTGTTGATTTATGAATGAAGTTCTGAGCGTAACCATCAATTCCTTAGGGTGTTGATGTCTTTATACAATGTAACTAGTCATTCATTAGCGGCGATAACTCTCTTTCATCTCCTATCCTTCCAGACAAACAGTTCCCTTGTCTAGCAGAACGAGAGATGGAGCGAGAAGTTTGCTTAAACGTCTTAAACAATGTTGTGGAATATTTTTTTAAAAAAAATTAAAAAATTAAATGATTCGCTTTAAGAATGGCGTCGATAACACGTTATAGAGTATCTGGACAACAATTAATTGTAGGTGGATGGTTGTTTCGACCACAGAGGTTTTGGTCAATGTCATTACGACCACAGAGGCCTGTCATTTCGACCTCAGAGGTTTCGGTCACAGTTGTTTCGACCACAGAGGTTTTGGTCATTGAGGTTTTGATCATAGTCGTGTTGACCACAGATGTTTTGATCACAGAGGTTTTGGTCAAGGTCGTTTCGACCTCAGAGGTTTTCGTTAATGTTTCGACCACAGAGGTTTCGACCACAGAGGTTTTCGCCTCGACCACAGAGGTTTCGGTCAAAGTCGTTTCGAACACAGAGGTTTTAAAATCCTAGAGGTTTCGTTAACTGTCGTTACGACCACAGACGTTTTGGTCACAGAGGTTTCGGTCACTGTCGTTCCGAATCTAGGGTTTCGGTCACTGTCGTTCTAACGACAGAGGCTTTCGGTCACAGAGGTTTAGATCACAGTCGTTTCGACCACAGAGGTTTCGGTCACACTCGTTTCCACAACAGAGGTTTTAGTTCTAAAGGTTTTGGCCACTGTCGTTTCGACCGCAGAGTGTTGGTCAATGTCGTTTCGACCACAGAGGTTTCGACCCCAGATGTTTCGGCAACATAGGTTTTGGCCACAGTCGTTTCGACCACGGAGATTTTGGTCCCAGAAGTTTCGGTATCAGATGTAAAATGAGTGCTAACTAGTTGGGGTTAAACACCCCGGCATCCGAAACTTCGTCAGTTCCAATGTCTGTCCATTAATTTGAGATGCTTGTGTGGATGCGATCTAATTGCTGGGCTTGGTTGATAACATGTTCCTGAAGCAACGACAGCGAGTTTCACAACATCTGGCCGTTGCTTGTTTACTTCACAATTCCCGAACTTATAGCTATGTTATCTACAGACACGTGAGCAGTAGCGTCCAATCAGAGGTTGTGACATCGTGACCCCCACGGAAACCTCAACATTGGATGAACCTTGAACTTTGCAACTCGATTATCACAGGTAGACATTTTAGCTCGAAACACCGAGACTTGGTTTTCGCGACGATCGAGAAATCTGATAGGCTCACAAGTTGGGCTTGTACCCAATCGAAATTAGTGCTGAAATATGCAGGGTATTACGTGAAGGCCTTGATAAGATGGGCGTAGTTAAAGCGAAATCAAGCCTTCTATTGAAGATGGATTGATAAGTAACCAGGAAGTCCGAGACTTGCTGTTCCATTCCGGTATGTTCCAGCGTGGTTTCTCCTTGTCATTGATCCACGGCAGAGAGAGAAAGGGCGAGAAACCAGGGCCCTGTGTACACGTAAACGTGTACGTTAAATAACCCTTGCCTTCATAGCACACTGTGTGTCGGTACAGAAAATAAAATATTAAATCCATTTTATTTCAAACAGTAGGACGATAAACCCCATTTCATTTCATTTTGAATCAATGTATGAGTTTTTTGTGTGTGTGTGTTTTTTTTTACATAGTTTGATTATTGATAGAAAAACATCCATCTATATCCATTTGTACATGAATAGAATATCTGGAAGATGTTAATGGATTTCTCGAAAATAAAATCTGCCCATTTTGACACAATATAATATTACGAGATATGGCTTTTTGACCATTGTGAGGCAACAATAGACTTCATTACTCATGACTGCTAACAAAAACTCGACTTTCTAACTTATGTATGTACATGCATTGGCTTTTATTCTGGGATATTTATGTAAACGTATATATCTAATACAATGTTTAAAGTCAAGGATAAATGTGTTGGTGATCACGGTGGCTAAGTGGGTAAGACGCTGGCTCGCTAGCCTGGAGGTCGGGTGTTCGATCCGTGTTCAAATTGGCGTACACGTAAAAGATCCCTTGACAGTTAGAATTCGATGTAAGAGTAGGCTGTAGTGCCGCTGTCCGGGCAAAATTTTCCTCATAGCACACTGTATGGCGTATGCCCGTCTTCATTAGCCCAGTTCGGAGCAGAACAGTAGGTCGTTAAACCTCATTTCATTTCATTTCATTTGTTTGTTTTTAACTTCGATGACCTTGTATGATGCTATTCAAATGTTAAAGGTACTGATGGACTTAATTCCATGAGTATCTACGGTGGCTCGGTGAGTAAGACTCTACGGTGGCTCAGCGAGTAAGACGCTACGGTGGCTCAGTGAGTAAGACGCTGTGGTGACTCGGTGAGTAAGACGCCACAGTGGCTCGGTGAGTAAGACTCTACGGTGGCTCGGCGAGTAAGACGCTACGGTGGCTCAGTGAGTAAGACGCCACAGTGGCTCGGTGAGTAAGACGCTGCGGTGACTCGGTGGCTCGGTGAGTAAGACTCTACGGTGGCTCGGTGAGTAAGACTCTACGGCGGCTCGGCGAGTAAGACGCTACGGTGACTCGGTGAGTAAGACTCTACGGTGGCTCGGCGAGTAAGACGCTACGGTGGCTCGGTGAGTAAGACGCTGCGGTGACTCGGTGAGTAAGACACTACGGTGGCTCGGTGAGTAAGACTCTACGGTGGCTCGGTGAGTAAGACGCTGCGGTGACTCGGTGAGTAAGACGCTACGGTGGCTCGGTGAGTAAGACCCTGGCTAAACAACAAGAAAGTCTGTGGTACGATCCCGGTGTTGAAGGAGAAAGTTCCTCTAGATTTTCAGTGTGATAGCCTGACATTACAAGAAACACAATCTAGTCCTTCGTGTGGGATGTAAATCCGAGGTTCCGTGTACACGTTGGTATGGACGCCAAAGAACCTTAGCCATTTTGATTCGATTAAGGGTATGCTTAAAAGCCGA